CGAGGGAGGCATCGTTACACACACCAGACTCCCGAGGGAACTGAGGTTCAGAGAGTTTAGGAACAAGTGAGATCACCTGGACAATAAATGCTGGGCGGAGGGAAGAGGCCATGTCCACCTGCCCCAAATCTCATGTCATTTCACTCAGCTTGAGAGGGCAAGGGCCATGTTCTGTCTTGTTACAGTGGTGTCCCCAGGGCCTGGCAGGGCAAATGAATACACGAATGAGTAGTAAAATGCCACTCTTGGACTGTGAGACCAGCTACTGTAAAGCATGGCTCCAGCTCCTCCTGGAAAAAGGAGACCAAGAAGGACAAGTCAGAGAAGGTACACCCTGTTTGCACAATGTTGCTGCATGCTGGACTGCTGTCCAGCTGTCCAGCATGCAGCTGTACTTTATGGGTACAGGAAATGAGGAGGAAATACCTCAGAGACTCAGGCTTCCTTTTTCTCTGGGCCTTGTATATGGTCCTCAGCCAGCCAATGCCCTACTAGGATCCTCCTCTGAGGCACCTGGATTGTCTCAGCCCCAGTCTCCAGACTCCCACCCTCTTAAATTACTAGTCAGCATTTGCAGCCCAGAGAGAAAGCTGCATCCTCCAGAGCTAAAGCCTGCCCAAAGTTAGTCTGTGCTGAACCAGACATTATCCACAAACTAGCATGGGATCCCACAGAGGAAGAAGATCTCATGCACCCAGAGGGTGTCTTCACTGAAGGAACCTGAATAGTACAGGGAAGGTGTGCATTCTAGCTCCACAGAGAGCAGTGCCCTTCTGTGTAATATGTTGAACTGACTGATGATTGAATTTGGCTAGTTGTTTGGCTGATTATGGAAAAGTAGCAAAGATGCTATATTTTAAGGTTTTCCTTTCTCCAAGGACCAGATGTTCCTTTGGAAAGAACCTTGGATTTGGATACAAAACCTTTTTCTGCCAATCACCCTGGTGCCCTCATCGCCAAAGTTCCTCATCAATCCAATGAAAATCTCACAGGGCTGTACAGAGAGAAGTGCTTACCCAAAGCCCATAGCCACTAATTGGCAGAGCTTGGATTTGAACCTAGGATTCTTGACTCCACCTCTACATGTGATTGAATGAGATCATGGATGGGGAAGAGCTGTCTAAACTGAACGCAGATGTGCTCACTGTGATAACTGTAGACACCTTCTCCCACAGCCAGTAGCTAGGAAGGATGGATGGAAGCAGATGAAGTTTGTCTCCCATTGGTCAAAGCAGAGAAGTTTATGACTTGGAATTTCTCCTGCTTTGCAGCCTGGCTGTGGAAAAGGCTGGGCTAGAACCCTGGATGCACTGGAGATAAGTGTCTGGCCTGACTCCTTTAAAAGCCCTTGCATTTCACAACCATTGCTGTGTCTGGGCCATACCAAGAAAGGATGGAACCAGACGGTAACCCTATTCCCCTGACATGGCTAGTCAGTGTTATTTAGGTTTAAAACATGTTTCATTCCTTTGGTGATTCCATTTGGAAGGCCACATGGAACTGAATGGCTTCTTTTCCTGCTTTCGTTTGTTATCCAAAGAGAAGGCCACAGCTGCTCACCAAGGGAGAGTAGGTCTCATTAGATTTTTGAGGTTAGAAGTAAAGGCCCAGACTTGGAGTCAGATAGCCCCCCTGTTTAATCCTGGCCTCCCTGATTACTTCTGTGCAACCTTCAGTCGTGCTAGTCGAGCTCTCCATACTTCATTCTACATGTTCTGTAAATTGAGGGCAATGATACCGCCTGCTAGGGCCCTGATGCTTCCACCAGGGGGTATAGTGACATGCCTAAGGCTGAGCAGGGCTTAGTAACTGGAAAGTCCTTTCTCCTTCCTGATTCTGACCCCTGCTTGCTCAAAGAGCTGATCACTCAAAGAAGGAAGCAGGCTTCACATACCTGGAGTCTATGGCAGTTTGTTCTGATGCTTACCAAGTTCTCTGGTGTATGTGGAGGGGATTTAACTGCGTCTCAGATGAGTCTTAGAGGGAGAATGACTGGGAAGTGTTGGAGGTATTAAAGACAAGACGAGAAAAGAGCAGTTGGGAATTTGATAATAATTATAATGTAATAGTCATAGTGCCTCATTTAACTGAACACTTACTATGTGACAATATTGTGCCTAGAACTTTACATGTATCACTTAACTGATTCCTTCTCTTATTGTCAGCCCATTTTACAAATGGAGCAACCAGCTGACAAATGTCTTGGTAAGGCAGTAACTGGGATATGAACCTACATGTCACCCCAGTGCTGTAGGGATAGGTGTGAGGAGTAGACAGGGTAGAATCTCAGGCTGGCCTGACTTGGAGGTCCCTCCCTTGGGGGAAGCTCATGTCCTCCCTGGTTCTCACCTGAACCCAGTTGAGGCAGGAAGTACAATACAGGCCTACTTGGTCAAAGGGCCTGCCTCCCCAGCTCGGCACCAACACCCCAAAGGCACGGCCACATCTTCCTGCTCTCTGGACCTGCTGGTTCCTGGCACGGACCCAATCTGTTTGTGCCAAAAGAGGTGATGAATACTGAAATTTTGCCCTTTGCCTTGCGGAATCTCCCAGATGGAAAACAGCACCTTAACAAGTGTAAAACTTGTTGCAGTTGACAAATTGTTTTCTCGTCTGTTATTCCGGAGTCTTCATGCCACACAAGACTCTCCACTCCTCCCCACTACCAACACCTAGATTCAAGTCTCTGCCTTCCTTCCACAACAGCTCTGTACCTGCTCTCCTCACTTCCCACCTTGCCCTGCACAAAGCCCTGTTTTCCACCCAGGAGCCAGAGAGATTACTCAAACAAAACTCTGCTCATGTCTCTCCTTGCTCCCTCTCAGACCAAGTCAGCCCTTTCACAGGACACGAGCCCCTCCGCAATCTCATCCTTGTCTCCTCGGGCCCATTTCTCTTTCTTTCTCCAGGCCCCAGCTCCTCCGCCTGCTTGTCCGGCCACAGCACCAAGAGTGACCCATGATGCCATGTGCCTGAGTCACCTGGGCAGGGGAAACTAGGACCTGGAGGTACTTTTCATCCCTCCCTCACATCATCTCCTTGTCCGCACAAGCTCGGCTGCCTTGCCTGGTGATGTCACTGGCCTGGGTGCAGGTGCTGCAGCTCATGCCAGGCTCTGAGGCAGGGGGTGGGGTAGAGACTGGTGAACGCCCACTTGGTCTCACTTCAGAGAGAGAATTATGGCACGAAGGGAGATGAAGCAAGATTTGGCATGAGGCACAGTGGGGACTGTCCTCGGGTCCCTTGCTTTCTAACTGACACTGGGCCCCCAAAACCTCCTGAGTAAAAAAGTAAACATGCAACTTTTGAGAAAAATGTCACTGAGCGCTAACATAGCTTTTGTTAAATAAAGGACTCCGGTGGCACTTTCTTCATGCACTGTTGTAAGCACCTTACCTGAATTTATCTAATTGATCTGATGAATTATCCTCATGGCAATCCATTTTATAGACAAGAAGACTGAGGCACAGAGATATTAAGAAAGTTTCCCAAAGTAGCACAGCTAGCAAACAGTATAGCCAAGATTTGGCCACTGAGTCTGTGCTCTAAACCTCTGCTATTTTGCCAGCTTGCTACAGCGAGGCCTGCCGCCCTGCCATGGGAGCATCATCCTCCTGCCACCCCTCAGTCACTGGTGCCTGAGGGGTGTCTGCAGAACCTCTAGCCCCAGATGTGCCTTCTTGGCCTCACCTCCCTGCACTGTCATCTCATATTTCATCACTGTGAGACCTCATCCTATTTCTCAGATGGATTTTATTATTCCCATTCTACGGTGAGCAAACTGAAACTCAGAAGATTACGGCAAGATTAACATATCCGAAGTACTGCCAGGATTGGAAATGGAGTCTGTCTAGACACGGTGTCATACCTATTCCTCTAGAGGTCAGGTCCAGCATGAGGGCAGAGGAGGCACTCTTTCCATGCCGTACTGGGCATGTTGAATCTGAGGCACCACGGAGGCATGCAGGCAGCAAAGCCAGGTTTGCGGCTCCAGAGAGCACGGGGCTGGACATGCCATTTTGGAAGTCATCTGTTGTAGGTGATGGTTGAGTCTATAGAAGAAGAGAGGGGAAGTTAAGGAGAGCTGGGAATTGAAAAGAGCAAAAGCCAAATCTTGGGGAAGGTCTGCTCATAACGGGTGAGATAAGGAAGGGCAAGCAGAGAGAGAAAAGTGACAGTAAGCCAAAGAATGAAAGCCGTAACTTCTATTTGTCCAGTGAGTCTTTGTGTTCCTTGTCTCTCATCCTACATACACAGACATGCACACACCCCTACACATGCATCCAACAGAAGCTCCAGAAGCCAGTGCTGGCACAGGCTAAGAACTATTATTACTGCTGGTTTGCAAATGTGAAAACTTTAAGAGGGTGAGGGACGTGCCTCAAATGTAACAACTGACAAACACCAGAACTAGTATAGTAATCTATGTACCCCACAGACACAGCCCCAGCATTGTGGGTGGTGTGGAAGGAGAGAACACAGTGGAGGGGGGAGGGTATTGTGTCAAATCCAACACTGATTTAAGGAGAAAACACAACTGGCATAGAAGCCTTTTAGGAGCAGGGTCGGTGGGAGTGGAGATCCAAACTGAGGTGTGGACGATGGAGGAGTGGTGGGGGTTAGTGAGGAGGTGGGAGAGCCAGAACCGACCCTTATTAGAGAAACTGGTGAGTGAGGAAAGAAGAACCCGGAGGCCTCTGTCTCTTTCCCCTGTTTTCCGTGGATCCTTTTCTGTTGCCAGGGTTCGTCCTCTGTCCTTCTGCCTCTTTTCCTTTCCACTCTTTTTCTTCTTCTCCAAACACAACTATTTACTCTGGACATCTAAGACACGTTTAGTATTAGGTTTACTAATTGAATAAAGTTTTATGCAACTTGCTTTTTTTTTCTGAAGCATCCCCATATCAGCCATCTTTCATTAGGTGCTGATTCCAATATGAAAGGATTCAGAGGTGCTGTGCAAAGATAATGGTCAGGAATCTGGAGTCCACACTGGGTCCTCTTCAGTGGTATTTGCGTCGCTGCTCATGTTTGGGTTTCTTATAAGAACAGCAGTAGTTAAAAAGCATGTAAACTGCCAGCACCATGGAAACTCCAGCAACATTCCCTTTCTTCACATTGACATACTTGTTGTAATACCAATAGCAGCCTCCTTGAAATGCTCCAGAAATGCCTTTAGGGGTGAAATCCCACATCAGTATCCAGCTTGGCAGCTCCCCTAATTTGACATCCATGAGTCTCTTCTCCTTCAATGGTACAACTGACACCATCTTAGAGTCTGGGCACAACTTGTTTTTAATGTTAAAAAAAAACAAACAGAAGAGCTGAAATTTTTTTTTCTAAAAAAAGAGTTCTTTCCAAAAGGGAATACTTTTAAAATATCCTCCTTGATGAGTTTTATTAGTGAATCTGTGTCCCTCAAGAGTGAAAGGCAGGCTCCTCACTTCTGTGTGAAGGTGCCAGAGAAAGAAGAGAATTTTCTGGATGAGTCAGGAGAAGGGAGGCTGCTTTTTTCATGTTCCCTCCAAGTTAGACAGGTACTCATGAGATCACCCAGCATGCCCAGCAAGGTGCTTAAACATAATTGCCTTCAATGAAGACATACAAATAAATCATTCTACCTGGCAGAGAAAATTTGTGTGTCGGCAGAATGGGCAGGCAAGACATCCCTTCAGCTTCTGAGCTCCAAGGATGGCTATGTCTGACCCACCCATGCAGATAGGCTAAGGAGCCCTGCCGCTGCGGAGCCCACACTCCTGACAGCCCCCGGGCCCCAAGCTCATTCTGGGAGCAGAAAAGGGATCAGTGTACAATTCCCCTCCTCTGCAAGGACGCACACAGCAGGGGGGTATCAGACACCACCTGCTCCACGAGGAGTGGTCCAGGTGGAATTGTCACAGTTCTTATAGGGGTCCCTCAACCTTTCCTGTATCCCATGCCCTTGAGGGCTGTGATGCCAAGAAGCCAGTAACAGTGGCTCTCCATGGCTGTGATTTTGCTATGGCAATGAGCCCCTTCAGGTCACCGACACCCCACTCACCATGCACCTCAGAACCCACGTGGGGTTTCTGCATGAACTCATGCTGAGTGAAAAACAGCCCCACAGGGTTCCCATAGGCTTGGAGGGGTGAACAAGCACCACCTTCTCCCTCCCCCATCACTGCTGTCAAGTGCATTTTTACTGGCCTCTATCTCAAGTCCTTAAGTCACATCTGCCAATGTTAAATAATGAGGTAGTTACTTTCCTGACACAGCTGACACAGAGATAAGAGATTTCCCATCATCTGATAGGGGGAGAAAATGCCTCGGTTTGATTAGATTTCTTTCCTAAGCCTAGATTCTTTCATCAGTGAATAATTTTGCTGACTTCTTTCCGAAAGACCTAGACAAAGGTTGGCACTTTGGGGTGTGCTCACAGGCAATGGCAGGCTGGCTGCTCCTGAGGACCATTTGCAGGGCAGAAAAGGGAGACAGACTCCACACCCAGGTCAGCACAAAGCTGGGTGCTATGAAGGGAGGAGAATGGGCTGAGTTGCAAGAGAGCCTTGGGTCATACTCTAAAGGTGGGAGGCAGTGGAGGAAGAGGGGAAAGGGTGAAAGAAGAGAAAGGGAAGGAAGAGGAAAAGGAGCAGAGAGAGGAATACATTTTCTTCACCCTTTCCAAGCTGTCTGCTTCTGGGTTTGTTCTCTTTAAGTTATGTCCTGTCTATAGCCTTGTAACGAGAGACACAGAACACATTTGGCATCTGTTGGTCCCTCCAGTCTGCCGACAATATTTTTTTCGGCTCAGAATCATTCTGGCTCAAATGATTCTGGCTCAGAATCATTTTTGATCAGGATTCCCTTAGAAGCACACCCTGAGACAACATATTGATTACTAGGGGAACAGAAAAATGTAACAGGGAAGGGAAGACAAGCAATGAAATTGTGACTTCATCCTTCTAAGCAAGCCTGGGAACTGGTGTAGAATAGCACTGAGTTATCCTGCAGAAGAAGCAGGGAAATCATTTCTTTAGCTACTCTTTCCCATTAGCCACTGACTGAGAGCTATTTCTGGGGGACATTGAAGGTGTTAATTCCTAGCACTTGACCCACTCCAGGTCAGCAGCTGGATAAAAACCCTAGGCACAAGGGCCAGGTGCAGCAGTTGAAATTGGTTGGCACATGTGAAGATGGAAAAGGTAGAGGCAGTGTTGGTGGGACATCAACAGCTTTTGTCAAAGTGGCTACAGCACATAAGTGGCCTGAAAGTGGGCATAGAGTCCCCATCCAGCCAGGAGAAGCAAGACCACAGAGCATCTTGGAGCCACTGAGGCCATTTTGAGCTTTTAGGCAAGGCTCAGAAACATCTTTGATTTTGAGAGTCTCCAGCATAATGGAGGCACAAGTGAGAAAAAGGAAGAAAGCAGAAAAAGACTAGAAGAGAATGGGGAGGACAAGGAGAAATAAAGCAAAAGTATGTAACCCATGAACTCATATAATCAGCCAAACTCTCATGAGACTTGAAGTAGGCCACAGAAGGGCTGCCGCTGGTAGACATCTGGGGAAGTGACACAAGAAACAACTGCAGAGGGACAGACTTCTGACTAGCTGGGGAAAGGATTCTGGGAAGTGTTCAGCCTAGGACATTCTCTTGGTTTTTTGACTAAATCCAAGAAGACCTATTAAAAGCCTATTATAAAGAGAGAGTTAAACCTCTGACATATTTATGGTGGGACAGTTAGAGATTAAGAATAGAAGTTGTTAGAGTAAGAATCTCATTTCTATGTGGTTGAAAAGTCTGGGCAGCAGCACTTGAGCTCAGAGCAGTGCCCATGTGACACAGGCCAGCAGTGTCTGCTGGACGCAGGACCCCAATGTGCAGCTACAGACCTGGCACAACCAGCATATAATCCTGGAGGTCACCAGCTTTCCTTTTCAGGGCCCTAGGAAATAGGATTTAGTAGCATGAAATGATTTTAAATGGAACACTTCCCATTGATCCAAAATTTTGGTGAGGAAGCCCTGATATCAAAGACGTCGATGAGATGTACCAATGACTCTAGAGAGAGGTGCTAAATATATCCATGAGGGACTTCTCAGAGGTTAAAAAATATGTCTATCAACCATTAACCCATCCAGACTTATACAGAAAACAAGACATTTGAAGGGCACTCTTTAAGAGAGTTGTTGAGATAGGGAGTTAGCTTAGCAGGGGGTGCTGTGATATTTCTTTTCCCTTCTATCACCTCAAACCAAGAGAAGGGACACTGACAAAATTGAGACTAAAAAAAAAAAGACTCATATCTTACAGTACCGATCAGCTGCAAAACGTGTGGGTCTATTTGAGAGAGCTTTGGGAGAAAGTGACATTTTTTCCCTTGGAGTTTGGAGGTATGTTTGAATTCAGACTCCCAGCCTTGTCCCCTGCTGAATTTGGAAGGCAAGCGCATGGCCAAAATCACCCACTAAGGCACGACAAAGAGAGTGAACAGAAAAAGACCAGCTTTAGTGGGAAAAGGAAGCATGATTTTCCTTTGGGATAAGCATACACTAGGGAAGATAATTAGGCTTGAACCATGAAGCTGGGACTTTCCAGAGAGAGTCACCTGCCAGTTTAGAGATGACAGGAAAAGGCTGTAGGATGTATTGTTGGGGAAAGTTGCTAAAAGTGTTACACGATGACCTCATCTCTTTCTGTCCTTCTGTCCTTCCACTCTGTCTATGACAGCAGTTCTCAGCCTCAGCTGCATGTTGGAATCACTAATGTTCAATTAGTATTTCAAAAATATAGAATGAGAGGTCTTACCCGCAACCTAGCTTCTAGAAGTGGGGTCTGGGCGCTGGATTTTTTAAAGAAGCTCCTCTGGTGATTCTTATGTATAGTTAAGGTCTAGAAGATGAGGAGGATATTAAGCAGAGGCCAACTGTGTCCAATTGTAGTAGAGAGCAGAGGCTAAGTTCTGTGGTGAGCATGGCTCCAGGCTGACACTTGGAGGCCTGACTGTGAAGTGGAGAAATTCATTCATTCTTTCATCATTTATTGACTCTCTCCTATGTGTTCTGTACTGTGGATACAGCTATGAACAAAACAGCTAGAACTCCATGACCTTGTGGAACTCCCAGTCTAGCAGAGAGGGCTCTCTTGATTGGGAAACACACTTGAGGCTCAGGGAAACCCTTCCTGGATCTCAGGTAGGTGATGTTGGGGGGCACACAGCAGAGCACTAACAGACTGCTTGATTTCATGAAACACATTCACAGCTGATAGTACCCTCACCCAGTTGACCCACATCAGGCTGGTGATCATCTTGTGTCCAGGCAGACATGGCCCCGAAGGCTCCGAGTGGTTGCAGAGTCTGTGATGTGGCATTCATCCATGGTTTGTTCTCTCCAGCCTCCATCCATGAAGGTTCATTGAATCAGTGCAGCACAGAGCAGGTAGGTACACCTGTGTGTGTGGGGATAAACCCACAGTTGTGAAATGATATTGATGATGGTGATGATGATGGTGATGATGAGCATCTCTATTTGTAGTTTAGTTTAGTGTCTCACCTGAGGGGTCTGTGGTGGAACCAGCCCTTGAACTCAAATCTTTTAATCCTATCCAGGCAGGGTCGTCTCCTGCTTCTCATTTATGGCAATAGTTAAGCTGACCTTCTTGGGACCAGAAGAAAGAGGTTCTAGGTGCCTGCTTTGTGTCCTTCTTTACCCTAGGCTTAATGACTTGACAGATCACTTCTACTCATCTTCCCCAGGATGAGGGGGAGCACTGTACTTTGAGAGGCCAGGATCAGAGGCAACTTTGACCCACAGGCCAAGGCTAATTGCTCTTATCACTACCTCCATTTGTGAAACGTGTCTCTGGTGGGAAGTGTAATTAGAGCATTGTGGAGCCTTGGAGGGCTGATGAAGCTGGGCTAATTGCTGAGAAGATAGCATCAATGTGGAACAGCATTTTCCCAGCCCAGCCCTGCCCATAGGTCCTGAAAGTGTGGAACAGAGAGGGCGGAGGAGTGGCCTGGCTTTGGTGTGCTGTCATGCCTACATTAGCTTAGTACAGAGGAACCTTTAGGTTTGTCTCTACCCTATTTACAAGAGGGCCTTTCTTCATGTTCCCATTCTCATTTCCTGGTTTCTTCCTCGTCTTCTGTCTCTTTTCCTTCTCCTCTTCCCTGGTGTGTGCTTGTGCCTACAGCAATTGCACTACAGTTCTGATCAACTGCTGCTCCTTTGGTGACCAGGAGGTGACTGAACCCCCAAACCACTCTGCCTAGTACCAGGGAGCACA